GAGTGTAGGACATGTAGTATGAGCCAGGGAGGGGCTGTGGTTGGTGTCTTGAGATCTCAAGGTTGGCTTGTAAAAGCAGCGGAGCCGAATGCACCTCTTCGGAACACAGTGAATGAAACAATAATGCTGGAGAGACAAGCGAACTCTTGTAGACCCAGACCTACCCTTCACCTCCTGGAGTTCCTTCTGTTGGATTTTGATGAGATTCTGCTTATCATTCTGCCTGAGTTTATAATAAGCCCCACCTAGTCCTTGCAGCTGGTATGCTACACTGGAAACCTATCCAGCCTTACACGGTGTGGTGGCTTTAAAACACGTCAGCAAGTTTTTGATGCTCCTCCCATCAAGAGGTGGTCTAATTCTGTTCCTCTTGCATGTGAGCTGGACTTGGTGTCTGGCTTCTCCTGCAAAGGATACAATGGATGTGACATTGTATGACCTCCAAGGCTGGATCATCAAGGCTATACAGCTTCCTCTTGATTCTCTTCAGATTCTTGTTCTTGGCACCAGCCACTATGCTATGAGGTAGCCCAGGCCACAGGGAGTGTTCATGGGTAGGTGTTCCAGCTGACAGCCTCAACTAAGGTTCCAGGTAACAGCCTGCATCCACTGCCAGATGTGTGAATAAGCTTTTGGGATGAATCAAGCCAGACACCATCTGACTGTAGCCACTTGAAAGACCAAAAGCAAGAGTTCCCCACCTGAGCCCAGTCCATCCCCAGAACCATGGGAAGTATGATTTGCTGCAATGATGAATGGTTGTTGCAATAATAAAATGATGTTGTTTTAAGTTTGGGAGAATTTTGTTACACACCAGTATACAGTCAGAACACACTCCGCAAGGTTGTCACACCTGGCCCAGGGCTGGATGCCAGCAGTAAAGACGAGCCTCTGATCCTTTCTGGTTAAATCACAGTGTGAGCCCTGAACTGCCTGTCCTGACAATAAGTATCACATCTTGTACTGTTGTTCTGCTCCTAATTTTTTAGCTTCTGACCTCGTCAGTCCTTTTCCGGTCTGTGCCCCCTTCTCTCCTCACCCTTGGATGCGAGGCTTGGGTATATAGTCCTGTTTTTCCTGCCTCAGCAGAGAAAACCCTTAGATTTTCCTTCATGATCATGATCCCCAGGCTCCCTCTGGTGTGCATTGGCTGTCTTGGACAAACATGATCTGTAACCCCACCCTCTGGGAACCCACACTGAGGATGTCATTTCCACTCCAATCCCCTTGTCCCCCAGCATCTGGGCTCAGTCTGAGTTTGTTATGACCTGGGATCAGAAATTGAACATTGGTTCCAGAGGTGGGATCTCAAAAACAACAAATACTCCAGCAGAGGGGCGGGTTTATCTTCCCAGATTAGTAGAGAGGGGATTGGCAGATGGTTTTGGTCTGAGGACCCAGCTGTGGGAAGTTGGGAGAGGCAAAAGGGGCTAGCGGTTGGCATTGGGCATGGGAAGCAAATATCATTGTTACTTTGTATGGTCAGGCAGATATTTCTCCTGATGACGGTTGCTAACAAGCTTGTCTTTTTGTAATAGTCATAGTTTCACAAATCAATATATTTGTGATTATACAGTAATAATAATGTTATCATTTATTAGCTTTTATAATGCCAAGTGCTATGTAAGTTGGGTTCTATGCATTCTACTATACAATATGTATATTAATACCATGAGCTAGATACTATTTTTATCCCTTCTTTTATAAATGAGATAACTGAGCCTCAGAGAGGTTGAGTAACTCATCTAAGATCAAAAAGTAAATAAATGGTGGAGTTGGAAATAAACTCAGGTTAACAACTATATAAGTAAGAATATGCAAGTTAAGGTCACAATGTAACACCATTTTGCACTCAGTATATTGGCAAAAATTAAGAAGATTGATAATACCAAGTGTTGGCAAGAATATGGAGCAACAGGAGCTCTTGGACACAGCTTGTGGGAGTGTAAGCGAATGCCCCACTTTGGAAAATACATTTCTTATAAACTTGAGTATTCACATACCTCTAATTCAACTCCTTGCTATACAGGTATCTGTCGCTTTTCTAAAGTTCACTTTACACCATTTCACTTTTATGAGAGATCTACATTTGTAACTGTTTTTGTGAATTGAAAGAAAGCCCAAGTTGATTTTCATTTTTACAGAAATGAATGAAAAGTGAAAACGATGTTCACTGTTTGTTCTGGGGTGAGCTGTTACAGAGGCAGCGAACACCCTGGGGAGGAGCAGCAGTGGGGAGGGGTACTGGGGCCTCCAAGCTCCTTTCCCAAGAATTTCCGCTGAAACTGCACTCAGCATCTCTGCACCAGGCCACCACAGCTTTGGTATGGCTTTGACCTGCGTCTGTGCTTTATCTCAGTTTATCTCATTTTGTGCCTCTGTTAGCAAAATCTGTCCTAAGGTAACTGTTTCTTCACTTTACACAGCTTCAGCTTTGGGATGTTTCATAGGAACACTCTACTTTTGGATAGCGGGGGAAACCTGTATATCCTAGAGTACTGTGCTTATGTACATGAACAGAAGTGACCACAACAGCATCAGTAATGATAGCCCAAAGTCAGTCAGAGATAGGCAGGAGACAGAAAACACCCTAGTTATTTTAACAGAGAGAATTTAATATGGAGAATTGCTAACCAAGTATAAAGTTGTTAACTGGATGACCAAAAGGTTATAAAAAGATCTCTAAGATAGAATGAAGGTAGCACTTGCAGAAGCATCTAGCATACCCCAGGCCTGAGGGAACAAAGAGAAGAGGCTGAGATTATCAAAACTGAAAAGCATAAAGCAGAGGACTTGCAGTACTCCACTTCAGGTATCTGAGAAAGGAGGTATGCTCAGCTGGGGCTCAAGAGTCTTGGAAAGCAGGGCGGGACCAGGAGGGCAGGAACTCGGACTTCAGGGGAGGAGATTCTGGCTGGAGCTGATGGCTCTGCGGTTGGGGGAAGTGCTCCATGGAGGTGAACCTAGAGCCCTGAGAAGGGGTTGCTGACTGGTGCCACAGAAGGAATTGCTGCTGTGAGGTGAAGGAGCATTGCTGGGTGATGCTCATGGGGGCAGGAAGGCCACTGGAGAAGCTAAAGAGAAGAAAGATGAAGAAGCAAGTCTTTTCTCCCTCCTCCAGCCCTGCAGTGTCGCTCTAGCTCACCCTGCTTATTGGCAGTCTAAGCAGCAGCAGCAGCAACCAGCTCCAGCCCCATCATCACAGAGCAGGTTATTTTTAAATTAAAAGTATTTATGTTAAACTGTGGTGAAATATAACATAGGACAAATATTATCATTTTATCACTTTAAGGTGTATAGTGGCATCAAGTACATTCACACTGTTATACCACCATCGCCATCATCCATCCACAGAACTTCTGTCATTTGGTAACACTGAGGCACAGCAACCCTTAAATGACTCCCTGCTCCCCAACTCCTGACAACCAGAAAGAGGAGACAAACTCCTGTCTCCATGAATTTGACTACTCTAGGTACCTCGTGTGAGTGGAATCATACTGTATTTGTCCTTTTGCGACTGGCTTATTTCACTCAGCATTATGTCTTCAAGTTTCACCTATGTTATAGCAGTGCTGAAATTCCCTTCCTTTTTAAGGCTGACTAATGTTCCATTGTATAAACGTGCCACATTTCATTTATGCATTCAGCCATTGATAGAGTACAGTTTTTCATACTATCAAATACTGTATAGAAACCACCCCAGGTTAGTCTGACTATAGACATTGTATATATAATACAACCCTCTCCCCACCCTTTGCCTCTGTATGCAATTAGGTTTACTTTTTCAAACCCATTAAAAACAATATCCTAACAACATGCCAGAAGATTTTCAAAAACAAAAAAAGCCTGATGATAATTGGACCATCTTAACACCAGAACTTTATTTTCACCTGTTCCATTTAAAAGTCTTTCTTATAGGCAGATGTAATTTTTCAAAGTTATGACTCCATCCCATACAGTTGAGGGTTCTGCCACATCATACATCTTGTTGCTTGCCAAACAGGGTTGTTGTGGCTAACCCTGAGTGAGGGGAAAAACCATTTTTTTCTTGATTTTTCTTCTTTGCTTCTTTGACCATCTGGACAATTTTGGTTGCAAATGAAGGGAAGCCTACTCAAATCAGCTTAAGCAAAAACAAACTGGTGCCTGAGTTCATAGGTGGTAGTGGTGGAATTTCCTGGTTTTTTGCTCTGGAAAGACAACAGGAGTAACTCACAGAACTAGAGTCTGAAACCAGGGACTAAAGAGACCCAGCACCCTTCTGGCGTGCCCGTCTCTTGTATGACCCCTTCTCTGCTTCTCTTTGATCAGCCTCTTTCTTTCCTACTGCAGGCGTGTCTCTGTCACCTCACAGTAATCCTGGCCACTGGCAACCCCAGCTTTGCAACTTTAGTAGAACAAGGATCAAGAGGGTAATGCCAGAGAAGGTTTTTTGTGACTGGCTCTGTCAAGTCACACGGGCCACCCACTGGGCCAATCATGCTTTTAGGATGATGATGAACTGTAATTGGCCAAGCCTGGTCACATGCTGATCCCTATGGCCAGAGTAGTTGTAGGGCCTGTTGCTTTCAGATAAAGGGAAATAAAAGGCCTGAAAACAACCATCAAGTCACTACATGCGGTTCTGTTTTTCACCATGGCAACACCGGATAAACACCCTGGCACACGGAGTTCTTTCTTTGTTTCAATAATCACCTTGTGAGAAATTCCCAAGAATAGGATTACAACAATGGTGCTGGCTGGAAGCCACATAACGTTTCTGTTTCCCAAATGTATCCACATCTCTTAGCTTATTTGTGAAATACCGCTAAGTGACAGGAGAGGAAAGAGTGACACAGAGAAGCTGAGTGACAGTTCCAGGGACATCGAGTGAACGAAGGCAGGGGTAAATCCAGAGCCCGGACTTCCCAACTCCCAGTCCAGTGCTATCTTTCAACAGCATCACAGTCAAAGTTTAGACTGGTCGGGGAAGGGTTAAAGTCAAGGTCATCTCCGGCCTGTTAAGGGAGGGAACTTCGTCTGCTGTCTACCCCTGGAAGGAGGTGGGCCAGGCCCCTAGAGGGAAAGGGTTGGCGGCCCCTGCCTTCAGAGCCTGCTCGAGCTCTGATGGGGGAGGTCCCGCCACTCGACCTGGCATCCTCCCAGTGGACACTCTCTGCACGGAGCTCCTCCAGGATGCTGCGAAGGTGCCTCAGTGTAAGCAGGAGTCTCTGGTCTTGGTCCTGCATCTCAGCCTAGGAGAGAGAAGAAGCATGTAAGGCAGCGGCCAGAGAACTGGACATGTCCCAGGAAGACATCTCCTTCACTGTCTCATTGGAGACAAGCCCACAGCCTCACAGATGCCATGTTTTCACCGAAGCCTCCATTTCTTCATCTGCAAAGTGGAAAGCAAATTACTTGCCTTCCAAGGATCTCTCCCTAGTTTTAGATCCCAGCAGGACTTTGGGGGCTTTGTGATTACAGAACTGGAGGAAGAGCACCAGACTTTCGTCCATGGTAGTTGTTGGTGTTACTGATTTGTTCTCTCAGCTGCGCAGAGTGACGGACATGCTTCCCTGATAGTCAACTGGGGCTCCTTGGCTGGGCTCCAGAGGGGAGTCCTTGTGGAGTCATGCACATTCCCAGTGATAGAGGTTAAAGCAGGCTTGACTGGGAAACTTACCAGTCAGGGACCAGTAAGTGGAGACTCAAAACCCATCTCTTGGCATCAAGTGGAGGTGGGGGTGCATGTGGGCCTGGGAGGCCCCTCTACCTACAGGTTATCCCCCCTTCCCCCACCTGTTCTTCCTCCTAATGTGTAGGAGAGAAGTACTTTTATCAAATGAAAATCAGCGCTTTGAGTTCAGATACTAAGCAGTCTTAATGCGGAAGCCCAGTGTTTAGGCGAGCACAAGGAGGGAGCAGCACACAGCCTATAATAAGCTGTGGCTCCTGCTATTGGAGTCCCCTGGACCCATGAGAATCCCTACTGGGTCAGCCCCTCCCACCAAGGTGAGGACAGGGTTGGGTCCCAACTGGTCCGTTGCCTGGCAACCCAGGCAGGTCCTTCATGGACAATCCTTTCTGTTCCCACATCCCCTCCGCCCCCGCCACCACCCCCAGCCAGAAGTAGAAGCTCACGGTTTTTGTTTCTTTCTTCCTTTTTTTTTAAAGTTTTTTTTAAGTTGTTGAATTGATCAGTCTATTTTTAACGGCCCTCTCCTTCCTCTTCGGGATGATAAATTCCCCAGGGTTGAAACTGGCATATTGAGATCCAAACCTTGGTTGCCCTCTGGAGTTCCCCAAACCACTCCCTTCTCTCTCTCGGCTAGTGTCCCCACATACTATGGGGGCATCCTTCTATTTTTGGACTCGGAAGAAACATCACAAGGAGCGGTGTAAGACCTGGCTTCCTGAACAGTTACTGAGGGACCAAGTAACACTGTTCATAAGTTCAGGGGAGTTCATGCCCCACGGAGTGGACATTTACAGACAGGAAATGGGAGACAGGAGTGAGCGAGGTGGATAAACTTCTCTTGGGCAGGGTTCAGAGCCTCATCCAGGCAAAGAGGCCCACAGCAGGGAGAACCGGCTGCCAAGAGGGCTGCTGGCCTCTTTAGGGCTCCTTCGTAAGTGGCATCCGGTTGGGTAACGAGGCATCTGGGGGAATAGTACGGGTTTTTACCCCTGGACCTCTTCCCCTCACTCTCACCCCTCTGGGCTTACACCTCCAAATAAGCAGGAATACCCCAGTGTTTGTGCAAGTGTCTGCTTTCTAGAAGGCCCTGGCTAAGACAGCTCTGGTGTACTCAATTTCCAGCTGGGCCAGGACTGTTAAGAGCCGGTGTAGATGTGCCAAGCAAGCACTAAGTGAATTATACCATCTCCTCACCAAATTCTCACAACAACCCTTGTGATGTTACTACTATTGTCATCCCCCTTTTACAATAAGGAGACTGAAGTTCAAAGCCATTTGCTAGAGGCCACAAGCCACAAAGCTGGGTACATACCAGGACTCACTGTAATTCTTAAAACCAGTCTGGCAAGCACTGCGCCCAGAGCCGCCTATGTAGGCCACGACCTACTTATCCCAGCACCTGGGGTGTCACCTGTGCGCGGTGTGGCTGATCCCACATGGGAGCCTGTGGGGCCTATACCCCAGCCTCCAGCTCTGCCCCAGCCTTGGATGAAATGGGGTGAAGGTGTAAGGTAAAAAGAAATACAAAACCTTACCAGCTCCTTTCTCAGCCACTCCAGGGTCTGCCCAAGACCCGACGTTGGCTCTTCTGTTGTTTTCATCTCAGCGTCCTCGGGAGAAACCTTGATGCCGAACTGCTCTGCTTATGGACCTGAGGGACCTTAGACTTGGACAGTCCGGCTTCCTTCTTCAGGCCAGGATCGGGGTCTGGCTAAGTCACTGAGGATGGAGTTTATGAGAGCAGAAAGTGGCTCACGTTGAAAAATGTAGGTTGTTTTTTTTTTTTTTAAAGGGCTTCAGGGATGGAGAGGGAGGTGGGAGGGGGGGATCGGGATGGGGAACACATGTAAATCCATGGCTGATTCATGTCAATGTATGGCAAAAACCATTACAATATTGTAAAGTAATTAGCCTCCAACTAATAAAAATAAATAAAAAAATAAAAAAAAATAAAAAATAAAGGGCTTCAGTACTTTGAACAGAGCAAGGAGGGAGGGAGGAGGAGGGAGATCATTGAGCTATGGGTGTCTCATTGCCTGTGGGCTCCAGAATCCAAATCTGATGCCCACAGGATCACAGAAGCTTTAAGTGACAAAGTTAATAATTATTATGGAAATAGGTGTCCATACTTTTTGGCCATATTGTATCCTGAGGGCCTGTTTAGTTCTAATTTATATATATATATATATATATATATATATATATATATATATACACACACACACACACACACACATATGTATACACACACACACACATATATATACACACACATACATATACAGAAAAACAAAATCTCATTTGTGGGGGGCGGGAATACCACATCTGTGTCCCCAGTCCCCTTCCTCCCTCCCTTACCCATCTGTTGAGTCCATAGATAAGGGAAAAGCTCATTTTCCAGAAGAAAGAAAGCCCCCTTCCTTCTGGATGCCCACGCACCCCATTTCTAGCAAATGAGATCAAAACAGAAGTGTGCTGTTAGACGTCTAGGAAAATGTTACCTACCTGATAAGGAAACATGTCAGTGGTGCTCCTCCTCTATTCTTGTTTTATTCTACTTCTTTCTGCCTGGAATGTGGATGCGATGACTGGAGCTACAGTAACCATCTTGCAACCCTTAGATAAAGGCTCAAAAAACTGCAGAGGCACTGAAATCACTCAGTCACAGAATCACCAGAAGCATCTGCTTGTTTTATGAGACAAGAAATCCAATTTTTAATTGGGCAAACACAGTCTTAATGGACACCCATGAAGTAGGTATTCTTTAATTTTCCCTTTCAACATATACTTATGAGTGCCTTCTGCTGCTGCTGCAGCTGAGTCGCTTCAGTCGTGTCTGACTCTGTGCGACCCCATGGACTGCAGCCTGCCAGACTCTTCTGTCCACGGGATTCTTTTTTTTTTGTCCATGGGATTCTCTAGGCAAGAGAACTAGAGTGGGTTGCATTCCCTTCTCCAGGGGATCTTCCTCACTCAGGGGTTGAACCCAGGTCTCCTGCATTGCAGGCAGATTCTTTACCACTGAGCCACCAGGGAAGTCCTGCTGAGTGCCTACTGTGTGCCAAATCCTGCTGTAGGCAGATAGAGGAACAGAGCCCAAAATCAGAGAGTAAAAGGCTGTTCTTTCCTGGAGCTGACATCCTAATAGATGGAAACAACCAAGATCAAGTTAATATTATGATGCCAATGAATAGGATTTATTCTCACACAGGCTTTAATTTTATTCTATCCGCTTGAACTAGGAATTCCAAACTAAGAATTAACATAGTGATCACAGATAAGACGCTGAGGTGACCAGAAAAACAAACCAACCCATTTTGGAGGGACTCGCCCTCCACCTGGGCTACACAAGCTGTTCATAGATAAAGCTCCACTGAAGATGAATGCATAGCCCCAGATTACAAACACACAAGGAAATTATCCACCATAAGTGAGAGTCAGCAGACACCTTCAATAGCAGGATTAGACCTCACTTCCGCAAGAACTTCAGATGAGATTAAAAAACAGTATTTTGAAAAGAATGAAAACCATACAAAAGAATTTAAAAACCTAAGAAAAAAGACACTATTTAAAAAGGGGTATTTTTTAAAAAACCTAAATAAAATTAATAGAAGTAAAAATTACAGGAACTGTTTATAAGTTAAAGAAAAATCGTGTTTATTTAAGTGTAGTTCCAAAAGATCGTTAGGGTGGGGGTACAGGACATAGGGAGGCAGAGAGAGACTTAATAGGAGGAAAGGGTTGCTAAGAATTCTTCCAAGAAGTGGGCACTCAGTCAGTGGCAGGTGAAAGCATAGCCCAGACAATCAATGAACCTGGAAAGGGGCTCCACTGGCTCTGAGATGAGACCTGAAGTGTGACGCTGACTGGGCAGGGAAGGGGGCCAAAACCAGGACACCTGGGTTCTAAGTCCGGTTCTATCAAATTTTCTATGTGAGCTTGAGCCTCAAGTTTCCATTTTAAGCATAAGGAGGCTCAAATAGTTACAAAAATGAGTTGTAAGAAACATCACATTTCTCATATCCTGTGGTTTACAGCTTGAGATGCATTCTGACTGACACACACAGAGAAAATTTTATGGGCAATTTCTCCTAGTTGAGCTGTTACTCTTTAGAACCCAAGAGGATACAAGAAACTCTTTTTTTTTTGTTTATTTATTTTTTTTTCCATTTATTTTTATTAGTTGGAAGCTAATTACTTTACATCATTGCAGTGGTTTTTGTCATACATTGAAATGAATTAGCCATGGATTTACATGTATTCCCCATCCCGGTCCCCCCTCCCACCTCCCTCTCCACCCGATCCCTCTGGGTCTTCCCAGTGCACTTGTTTGCCACGTTCACACCCCTTCTGAACACAGAGGCCAGAAATGATTGCTTCCAGGCAGGTCACCAGGCTTTGTGGCACTGGACCCTGCAATTATGGGACAACTGCCTGGATTAGAAACAGGTGTCCCAAACCAAGGCATTTACCTGTGGACTGGACAGGAGGGAGGTCCTTGGCTCATGGGTGATGGCGTAAAAGCAGTCATGTTCTGGGTGGTGACCACAGGATCCAATCAGGCCTTCTCTCAGAGAATCTGTATTTGATACAGTAAGAGGGGTTGGGTTGTCTCACAAGAATATTATGTAACAAAACTCTCCAAAATTCCATACCTTGAAACAAAGCTTGTCTATTTTTGCTCTTGAGTTTTTGGTGTGGCTGGGTTGGTCTGCACTGGGATTCAGATCTGCAGACCTGAGCCTGTGCCCCATGCCTCTTCTCCTCCTCCTGGAATTATCGGGCTACTGGGGCCAGTTCTTCTCTTGGCAATGGCAGAGGATAAGAGAGCAGGTGGAATCGTGTGAGGCCTCTTAAGACTTGGGCTCTGAAAATCACACTGTCACTTTTGCCATGTAAGCAAAGTGAGTCACACGGCCAAGCTCCAAATTAAGAGTATATTCCACCTATGAAGAGATTGTGCCACACATGTGGTGGAGTTAGGGAGGAATGAAGAAGTGGGGCTGGGATTCTCTTCTAGAAGGAAGTTAGTTCAGAAGAGGGGCTACAGGCCCCAAGGGGCCTGGAGGGAAGGCGGCAAACAGAAACCATGAGGTAGCAGCAGCAGGAGACCAGAGAGGACTAAGGAGATTTGAAGGGTGATTGAGGACAAGCAACATTTATTGATATCTGACATTGTTTGTTATTGTTTGTTATTGATATCACAAACATTGTGATGAGCCCTTGACAACACAACCCTGTTTCATCCTCAAAACCTTATGACTGCCATTTCCAAACTGAGTGCCAGGGCGCCCAGAGGCACAGCAGAAAGCTCAGAGACACTGCAAGATATTTTAAAAGTTTGAAGGAAGTACAATAGTATCTGTTGGATACTGGACAAACTACTATTATTAACTTGTGTGAACCTAATTTAACAAACGACCATTAGACATTTCTTTGGGCCTGGGGCACTGTTAAAAGATTACAGAGATGCGAATGATGCTGTGAGCTGAGAACATTTGGGAACCTCTGCCTACGAGGTAGGTACCCTTGTTATCTGCATTTTATAGTTCATTAAGAACCTATTATTAACCTGTTTTGCAGGTGAGGAAACTAAAGCTCAAAGAGGCATAGATTTTCCTAGGGTTACTCTGGCAGGTAGGCAACAGGGTTGGAATTAGAACTCATTCTCCTTGATCTGTGTGGGAGGGTCTTGCCTGTTGCTTTGCAGGGGTGGAGAGTCAGTGGGGGCTCGGGTTAGGCACTGCTGCCATGCTGGGGGCTCTCTGCCCAACACAGGAGTGGTGTTGATAGGAGTGCTTGGCAGTTAGAGCCTCTAATGCTCTGTCCTTGACTTCTAGTGCCAACACCGAATTACCCTGGGAAGCCATGTCTTGTGGGTAACTTGCTTTGATGCACTTTCATTTATTTTTAATCTCCCTCTCACGATCCTGGCTCAGAAGACATTTTACTTCACAGGCTTGGAAAGGCTTGGCATGTGGGGAGAAAGGGATGTGGAGCCAGGAGGCGTAGAAAGGAAAGAACTTCAACTCCTCAGCGAGGAAAACTGTCCTCACCAGTTATCAAGGCCAGAATGGCCATCCACATGTCACCCATGGGCAGCTCGTAACATGGCTTCCATGTGCCAGACCCTGGCCTGTACGCCAGGAGCATAGCGGTGAGTAAGAAAGGCCTCACATCTGACCTCACAGGGCTCATGATGCAGCTAGCAAGAGAGGTCATTAGCAATCAAGTGGTTAAAAAGTCATACCTTATACCACAAGCCTGGCATATATATATGAATGAATAAACAAAAAAGTGTGCAGATGAAGAAACCACGGCTCAGATGGAGATGTGAGTTACCCAAGCAAGTTGGCAGCTAGGGCAAAATTGCAAGTTGTTCCTCTGTATCCTTTCACACATGGCAAAAGACTATTCCTAGACTCCCTTGCAGGGAAGTGTGGTCAGATGACTAACTCCTGGTCAGTGGGATATGAATGGAAATGATGTGTGAAATTTTTGGGCTGTGCCCTGTAAAGGAGGGAGGAGGGTTCCTGCCCCTCCCCCTGTTTCTCCTTCTGCTAACTGGAATATAGTCGTAAGGCCTGGAGGTGGAGCAGTCATCTTGGACCATCAGGTGGAGGATGGTGTTGCAACAACATAAAAAGAACCAGGGTCTCTAGTGACTGTGAAGCCACTGCGTCAGCCTTAACTGCCGTGAATACTTTTAAATGAAAGAGAAATGAGCTCTGTTTTTTTTGCAGGTATTATCATTTTGGGTCTTATTATAGGAGTCAAACCAATATCCTAAAAATACAGCAGCAGAGCTAGTGAGAGAAGGCAGGTTCCTTGATTTTCCCTACTCAGTTCCTTCCTATATATTTTATTCTCTTCCAAGTGTTTTCTTGTTCATGACCTGATCTACTCCTCACAACAGCTCTGTGAAGTCCTTAGCAGGGAGAGGATTTCTGTGATGCTCGCTAGGCAGACAGGGAACCCAAGATGCAACAGTAGTAGCTGAGACACATGGGCAAAGTTATTTCCATCTCTTCGATGTGGCAAGTGGGCTAAGTGATGTCACTGAGCTCTGCCTCTATGTCTGACTCCTAATCTAAGGCCCCACGAACACTTGAGGGTGGTCCCTCATTTATCCTGGGCACCGTAGCCCTCATCCCCACTTTGTGAAATACAAATGAGGTGGAAGTTTAGCAGAGAGAAGCTTCCACATTGTGAGAGCTCTTAAACCCATCTTTCCTGCCACGCAAGCAGATGCCATTATAGCGGCTAGCAGGAGCACAGGGTTGGAGGACCAGCTGACTTGGGGAGTCCCAACACCACCTCTTCTTCTGTGTTGTTTATCACCTTCCAGCAGGCTTTCCCTTCAACCCAGACAGCAAGGCTGGTAATCCAAGCATTTGTCTTATGCTTGTGCCCTTATCTGTGTACTCATGGGTTCTGAACACACGTCCTGCACCTCTTGAGTCCTGTAGCAAATGCTGCCAGGGCCCCACCATATCCCCTTGATACTCCTCTTCTCCATATGTGCCCAGGGCTTCCGACTGCAAAGCACATCTGACTCTCTGCTTAAGAAACATGCTTGACCTGGGCAGAGGACAGTGCCAGCAAATAGGTGTTGTAGATAAATATCTCGCCTCCCTTGGCTCCCGGGTGGAACAAGACTCAGTCCAGCAGGACTGAGTCCTCAGTGTCAGCGGCAGTCGTGTGCTCATCAGTACATTGGAAGCCTTCCCTTCCGTGTCTAACTCCCCTACTCCTCTACTGTGCTTCCTGGACCACCTCCCAGATAGACCACTTGCCCTAAAATTCTTGTCTTGGGTTTGCTTCTGCGGGGACTCAACCTACAACAGGTCCCATCCATGTGTGCGCTGTACATGAGTCGTGTGTACCTCTTCTGTGCGTGAGCGTCCTGTACAGAATATGTGAATATCCTAGCCCTCCTGCTCTGTACACAGGCCCCCTGTGTACATGTGTCCTACACACACCTGTCACACGCCCAGGTACCCAGGACACGGCTCTGTGTCCACTTATGTCAGGGAAGCAAGGCCTTTGATCCTGATGAGGTGGTAGAGACTGAGAAAGCAGAGTGGAATGGTGGGAAAAGTGTAATTTCTTGGCCCCAACTAGCTTTGAGTGTGACTCTGAGGCAAGCTGCCCAATTGATTTGAACCCCAATTCCCTCCTCCAGTGGATGAGTAGGAGGTAAAACGAAAGTGGTGGGAAGAATAGGCATGCAGCCAGTCAGCCTTGGGACTTTGAGGTCCTCAAATCCATCTGGAAGTCAGACGCCCTTGGCTCTGGTTGTACTTCTATTAATACTATCCCTCAGGGTGGCCACAGAACACTCTCTTCTGTCTTTGGCACTCAATTTTCTTAGACATAAAAAAGGGGATTAGGATTCCCCTGGCTGTTTAGCGATTAGGACTCGGTGCTTTCACCGTGGTGTCCTGAGTTCAGCCCCTGGTCAGGGAACTAAGACCCTGCAAACCATGAGGTACAACCAGAAAGAAAAAAAAAAAAAGGGCCAGGGGGAATAGCAACAGCTCAGAAATTTTGCACATGCTTTGAAAATTATGACAGAACTCAGCATTGTGGTTATCAGCACTGAGTTGGGATCTGGATTTGAACCCCAGAAACATTGTAAACTGGTTGTGTGACCTTGGGCAAGTTATTACTCATTTTTGCCTCTACTTCCTCATCTTAAAATAGAGATAATAATAGCACCAGTGATCCATGCCTCTCAGTATTCATACACTTATGTAGACCTCTCTACCCTTGACTCTGGGCTGGCCTGTGAGCTTCCCTAAAGCAATAGAATGCAGCAGAAGTGACATTGTGCCAATTTCTATTATTAACATCTTATTTTAGTATGATAAGTTTGTTACAATTAATGAACTGATATTGATGTGTTATTACTAGCCGAAGTCCATATTTTATTCAGATTTCCTTAGTATTTGCCTAATGCTCTTTTTTTCTGTTCCAGGATCTCATCCAGGACACCATATTAAGTTTAGTCATCATACCTCTTTAAGGCTCCTCTAGGCTGTGACAGTTTCTCAAGACTCTGTTTCTGATGACCTTGACAGTTTTGAGGCCAGGTACTTTGTAAAATGTCCCTCAGTTGGGATTTGTCTGATGTTTATCTCATGGTTAGACGGGGGTTATGGGTTTGGGGCGAGAGATCACAGAAGTAAAGTTCCATTCTCATCATATCATATCCAGGATACCTACGATCAACATAATTTGACTGCTGAGGCTGACTTTGTTCATTTGGCCAAGGTAATCAGGTTTGTCAGTTTCTCCCTTTCAAAGTTATTCTCCACCCCCACTTCCACATTGTACTCTTGGAAAGTCACTCTGCCCAGCCCACATTTAAGGATTGGGGAGTTACACACAGATATTAGAGAACAAACTAGTGGTTATCGGGAGGGGGAGGGGCAATACAGGAGTAGGGACTGGGAGATACACATTTCTGTGTGTAAGATAGGCTACAAGGATGTACTGTACAAACTGGGGGAATATAGTCAATATTTCTTAATAACTATAAATGGAAAGTAATGTTTACAAATTTTATTTTAAAAATCTCTACACAGAATTCTTAAAAAAAGAATTGGGGGTTATGTTGCTCTTCCTTGAGGAAGGAGTATTTGGAATTCTTCATCAGAGATTTATCTTTTCCCCCATTTTTGCATTTATCATATTTTAGGTTACAATTCAATATTACTTTACTTATTTATTTTTGATCAGATTTTTCCAAGTTTGGCTATTAGGAGCTCTTTCAGTCAACTTCTATGTCTTTTGACATACCCCCATCATTTTGTGTGTGTGTGTGTTGCTGTTTCCTTTTTTATTTTATGGCACTATTAGATGCTCCAGGCTTGTCTTGTATGTTTTCTGCTCCAGTCCTAGCATCAACCATTTTTCCTTGATTCCTTTTATTGGAGAGTGGTATTAGAAACCAAGATCTGGGCAGTAGGTGTGCTTGTTACTATGCAATATCTTGCAGCCAGGTCCTCTTAGCTGACAGAGAAAGGAAATACAGTGTATACTAACTTGTGTGTATACCCAATTACAGTTGTATATAAAATGTATCATAAATATATAATCATCTGTATCAATATTATGCTAAACATGAATTTATACTAATATCTCCAACTCAAATCCATTACCACATGGATCATTGGAGGCTCCTCCTCAGGGTCATTTTTTATCATTGCAATGTTGCCAGGTAACATAGTGACATATGTTTATCTGTTTCCAAGGTAACAGAGCTAGACAGTTAACCGAAGGTCAAATTCTCACACAGAAGAGGAAAAGTTTTTGTTAACCCTTTATTCACTCTGATCAGTGACTCCCCACTGCTTTGGGGACAAAGAACCAACTGCTTGCTTTATAAGTATGTGCAGTGACCTGGCTTACTGATAGTCCAGCTTCATCTCCCACATTCCTTATTGAGCCCTTCAGGGCAACCATCCTGTCCTCCAATAAGACTCACAATCACCACACTCCCTTCTACCCCAGAGCCTTTCCCCATGCCAGTCCCTCTGCTGGGCCTCGCTTCCTTGCTGTCTTTTACCTGGCTGCCTCCTATTCATCTTTCCAGTCTCAGCTCAGCCCTCAATTCTGCAGGAGAACCTGGAGCCATCCTGTCTCCCAAACAAGGTCAGCACCTTGCTGAAAGCTTGCAGGGTACCTTTGCTTTGTGGCAATGTTACCTTTGCTTATCCTTTCCTCCCACTAGAATACGAACTTCTAGAGGGTAGGGTGGGGATGGAGTCATCTTGATTAATCAGTACATAATAGGAGCTCAATAAATGCTCATTTTCTCCATTCTTTATTCATTAAACATTTATCAAAGGCCTCCTTTGTGTTGGCTCTTTTTCTAGCATTTTGGGATACAGCAAGAGGGAATAAGGCAAAGCCTCTGCCTCCTAACATTTATATTTTAGTGGTGATGACAATAAAGAAAGAAATAAGCAAATGTCAGAAGCTGATAAATGCTGTGGAGAAAAATTCAGAATTAAGGAGTAAAGGGTGCTGGGGTACTGCTAGTTTTAAAAAGATGTGTGAGAAGGTGTCTCTGAGAGGGTGACATTTGAGCAAAGATGTGAAGGATATGAGGGCACGTTCTGGGGGGTCTCAGGAAGAAGAGTGTC